GTGTGCATCTGCTGTTGTCTCTCGCATCAAAATCCAGCCACATATTAGTTTAGAGCTGTTTAAACGCTGCTTGATCTGTGCAGATTTCTCTCCTGATTCACACCAGAACACTTTTTCACTGGAGGAAGCGTTATTATGGATTATAGATTCAATGTATTGTAGTTAAAAACGTCTTAATGCTGGATTAGTTTCAGCTTTTGTCTTCTCCAGATGTTAACTGATGGACTGGAGTGCTGTGGATTACTTGTGGATTATTGTGATGTTTTTATCAGCTGTTTCGACTCTCATTCTGACGGCACCCATTCACTGCAGAGCATCCATTGCTGAGACACTGATGCAGTGCTGCATTTCTCCAAACCTGATGAAGAAACGAACTAATCTACATCTGGGATGATCTGAGGGTGAGTTTTTAGAAACACACAACGAGCTAATTTGGAATCTAAATCAAGTCTCGTGTCACATTTTTCAATTCGAGACTCAGATTATGGCACCCAAACTACTAAAGAGAGCAATGGGCCGTCATCTACACAACCCTGCAGCTGCGGGACGCTGCGTTTGAAGGGGTTTTGCTGTGTGATGTGAATTACTGAGCAATATGAACGTCAGATTTACTGTCAGACAACTGACCGCAGCATGTCTGCAGTGAAATACGACTTGATAATAATGGACAGCAGTCTGAGTCTGGCTCTCGCTCGGGTGCTTTCCAGAGCTCTGGGCCGTTATTTCTGGGTATGGATCTCACACACACACACACACACTCGCTACTGCTTTAGAGAGTCTCACTCCAGTTCAGTAATGACCAGTTTGATTGAACACAATTAAAAATAAAACCTTTCTGCCCTGCTGTAAACACAGCGAAGCAGCCAGACTCTCTCCGTCTGTCCTATAAACACATCTGAAAGCGTCGACTCTGAGATAACGACAGAAGATTCAGACTCGCTGTCTAAACAAACTCATGCTAATGCGGCTGTCTAAGTGGCATCAGACCACCAGGGAACCAGCACATCGTCTTCTGTGACCATCAACATCCATATACATATATGATGAAAATAATAAATGCACTGAACTGTGGATGGAGTTTGATTAGATTATGTAAGAGAGTCAAAGATCTACCATTCGACTATAAAACATACATGTTTAACTGAACTAAACCAGATTAAACCACAAACACACTCACAGCTGAAGAGGACAAAAATACACGCAGATAAATACTTAGAGGAGCTTAGTCTCAGATGTTTCTCCAAGAAGACCTCAAGAGAGACAAAAACAGGCCCAAATGAGTCACTAGTCTTCATCTGATGAGAAATGTTTCATTTGTTTGTTTCAGTGTCTCATATTGAGATCTGACTGCAGGTTTTGGTATCTTTCTAACTATCAAAAATATGTTCCAGAAACGTTTGCTAACATTCTCAGAGAGTTGTGAAAATGTTACTTCCGAACATTCAAAACATCCAGTTTTTTTTAAATGCTTAATGTCTTGATTATATACGAACATTCCATTTTATCATTTTCCAAAGACTATGAGAATGTTACATTTGAATGTTGTCTGAACGTTCTAAAAATGTTATTTAAAAACATTAGATGGAAGCCCAACTAAAACGTTTCAGAAAAAAGTTCCACGAATGATGAAAGAATGTTGTTGTGCCAACATCATTAGGGACTTTTCTCAGGAGAAACATCTGAGAACTTCAGAATAAGTCTCTGTTTGTTCTACATTCGCTAGGAGAAACATTTGAGATCATGTGTGTAGAGGCAAACTCCAGCTGCAGAGCTGAACAATGAGTTCAGATATATGTGTGTGTGGGTGTGTGTGTGTGTGTGTGTGAGAGTGTGTCATTACCTTCACATTTCTGTGTAATTTCGTTGAACTTGTGTCCAGCAGGGCATTTGCACTCAAATGAGCCCACAGTATTCACACAGTTTCCCCCCTGACAGAGTCCAGGAATGGCCTGGCACTCGTCCACATCTGCACACACACACACACACACACACACACACACACACACACACACACACACAAAGAGAGAAAGAGAGGAAATGCTTTAACAACACAACACAATAGATGCACTCAAATCAGTGTGTATAATTCAAAACAGAACAACATGAGGAGGAAATATCAGCGCTCCGGTCTCATGTCGCAACGCTTCATGTGTGTTTGTGGAGCCTGAGAACAGAGCAAAGAGTTAAGACATAAACAAATCATAATCTTCAGATTGTGCTCTATTTCTGCATGACTAATCAAATGTAAGTGTCATTGATCATGTCACAGTCATATGATCTTCTATTGCATAAATCATAATGTTTTACCCACAATAAAGCAAAAAAAAAAAAAACTTTAAAAAAGATGCATACACCACAGTTAAAGAGATTAATGTCAGTTTGCTTTTTTATTGTTTCTGAAATAATCTCTTCTGCTCACCAAGGCTGCTTTTATTTGATCAAAAATACAGTAAAAACAGTGAAATATTATTAGAATTTAAAATATCTGTCTTCTATGTGAATATGTGTTAAACTGTAATGTATTTCTGTGATGAGCAGCTGTATTTTCAGCATCATTACTCCAGTCTTCAGTGTCACATGATCTTCAGAAATCAGTATAATATGCTGATCTGCTGCTCAAGAAACATTTCTGATTATTATCAATGTTGAAAACAGTCGTGCTGCACAATATTTTTGTGGAAACCGTGATAGATGAATAGAAAGTTCAATAGAACAGCATTTATCTGAAATAGAAATCTACTGTAACATTATAAATGTCTTTACTGTCACTTTTGATCAACTGAATGCATCCTTGATGAATAAAAGTGTTTAGTTCTTTAAATCTTTTGAACAGTCATGGAGACTGCTAGTGCATTCAGACGCGTTGATCCCGTCAGTGTAGTGTAGGATAATATCTACTGTGATAGTGATACTGTACACACACCTGCATCTCTCTCTCTCTCACACACACACACACACACACACACACTCACACACACACACACACACACACACACACACACACACACACACACACACAGACTCACACTCACACACACACAGATGGATGGACAGTTCACTCTAATTGAGTCAGATTGGTTTTGGTTCTAATGAAGGAATGCTCGCAGTCATGCAAACAAGGACACACTGTCAGAACACATAGACGCACGCCTCAGCGATCCAGACAATCCCACAACACACACACACACACACACACACACACTGATCAAGATCTACACTTATCAAGAGCAAACACACAGATCCACTCTGAAACACTTCTAAACCTGGGTGTTTTTAGGGGCGTGATATTCAAATGACGATTGTTTTCTGGCGCCACATTTATCAACATACGATCATTCGTACGATGAGATCGGCGGCATACGCATGTTCCATAAATCACACGTGAACTCTGTCGTAAGTTGATTTGTGTGCACAGATCTGCGCTCGTTTCTACGTTAGATTGATAAATGAGGCCCACTGAGTGTAAACGAATCACTCAATGATGCACCTGTTGATCTGAGCTGAAGTGCTGGGGTAAGATGTGCCGGTCTCTGCTGGTCTGCTCCGGTCTGTGCTGCAGGTTTTGAAGAGGATCTCCGGTATTGTCATAGACCGGCTCCGGTGTGTGTGTGTGTGTGTGTGTGTGGTTTGGCTGTGACTGTAATTCCTCCAGCTGGGTACATTCTTTTATCGTCTGGCTGTCTGAGTCGCTCTGGGAGGGTGAGCGTGGGCTTGTCTCGCTTTTGTCTCTTCTCTCTCGGTTTGGTCTCACACTTCTCCTCAAATCAATCAGGATTTTATCTTGTACCATAATATTTCTTCCCTATTTACTTGTCTCCCTGCTCCTCACTGTCTGTGTGTGTGTGTGTGTGTGTGTGTGTGTGTGTGTGTGTGTGTGTGTGTGAGTGTGTGTGTGTGTGTGTGTGTG